AAGTGGCAAAACACTAACTCAAAGCAGACTGAAAAGTTTGGTATGATGAAATTTTCAAGTAGGTAGATGGAAGACATAAAACAATTAAAACATAAAGGGGGGAGAGTAAAAGGACTTAGATGATTGTAAAGCTACTATATTTACTTAAAGTGGTAAAATATTAACTCAAAGTAGACTGTGAAAGGTTTGGTATGTATATCACAATCCTCAGAGCAACCGCTATAAAATAATATAAAGAGATAAGGCCAAAAAAGATAATAGATCAATTAGAATGAAATTAAACATTATTAACATAAAGAGATTTCTTTAAAAATCCATGATGCAATAATAGAATTGGATTTCTATTGAAAAGAACTAACTTTTCCTCCTGCTTGAAAAGACTAAACAAACAAACAAAAATCTATGAAAGAATTTTGGACATTGGACATAAGGAAGAAGAGGACGTGACTCCTCATAGATGGGAAACAAACATAGTAAGCAATACAATTGCCCAGGTGATTGCCTAAAGAATTTCCAGTCCAGTGCACGAGAAGAGGAATCCCAGATGGACCCTGGCATTCTCCCCAAGAAGCAATAAAAAGAAATCATATTGCACACTGCAAATCTCCTCTGCTAAATGTCCAACTTGCTTACAAGTTCTGCTGTCCACACAACTAACTGTAGGACACAATTTAGTAGGACACACAACTGCTTACAAGTTCTGCTGTCCACACAACTAACTGTAGGACACAATTTTCTGCCACAAAATAATAAGAACGACCTTTCCTCCAGTTTCCAATAACATACTCCTTATTTCCTTGAGCTTCACTGGAAGTGCATTTAATGTCCATATTTCTACCAGTATTTTGCTTATGACAATGTATTCTTTAAAATGATACAAGCTTTTTGTTATGGGCCTTATAATTCCTTATCTCTATCCATTTACCCAATTCCAAAGCCATTTCCACTTTTTAAAATATATGTGTTATACCAGCACCCCATTTCCAGTACCATATAATAACTATAAACAGGAAATAAGCCAAAAGTCCATCAATAGAAAAAAAAAATAAACTCTGGTATATGCAAACAATGGCAATGAAAAGAACAAACTACTGATTCAGCAACATGAATTCGACTCTCATAAATGTTCCGCTGAGCGAAAGGAACCCTGTACATGATTCATACTGTATATGGATATTCTAGAAAAGAGAAAACTGATAATAGAGAAAAATCAGAACTGTGATTGTTTCCGGTAAACAAACAAACAAAAAAACAGAATGGGAAGAGGGAGGATGGGTGGTGCATTGTACTAGGGTACATGTCAAATCTACTAAGTGTAGAGTATAAATGTCTTAACACAATAATTAAAAAAGTGCAGGGAAGGCTATGTTAACCAGTTTGATGTATTTCAAACTGTATATAAAACCAGCACAATGTACCCCATAAATGCATTAATGTACACAGCTATGATGTAATAAAAAAAAAAAGGAGCTTGAATTGACTAAGAAAGGGCATGAAGAAATTTTCTAGGGTAATGTTAATCCTCTATCTCCAGATATAAGTATGGATTACACTTACATATATTTTTCAAACCAATGAAGAGTATTTAAGAGCCCTTAAGGCGTATATAGTCCATTGTATGTAAATTTTACCTCAGAGGAGGAAAAAAACAACTGTAAAACACAATTTAGACTCTAGTTAATGCAATGCATGCTGAGGGATGAAGTAGGTGTACTGATGTCTGCAAAACTTACTTTGAAATGCATAAAAAATAAGATGGATTAAAGGCTGGATAGAAGGATAGACAATAAAATATTAATGATAGAATCTAGGTGGTAAGTATATGGGCATTCACAATAGCAAGCTTTCAAAGTTATGTATAAATTCCATTTACTATAGCATCAAAAAGAATAAAATACTTAGGAATAAACTTAACCAAGGAGGTGAAAGATTTATCCACTGAAAACTCAAAAACACTGCTAAAAGAAATTAGAGACCAATAAAGAGAAAGACTTCTCATCTTCAGTTTTTTTTTTTGGCCGGGGCCAGGTTTAAACCCACCTCCTCCAATATACAGGGCCAGCACCCTACTCCTTTGAGCCACAGGCACCGCCCAAGACTTCACATTTTCATGGATCAGAAGACTTACTGTTAAAATGTCAGTGCTACCCAAAGCAATCTGCAGGTTGATGCAATCTCTATCAAAATCCCAGTGGCTGGCTCGGTGCCTATGGCTTAAGAGGCTAAGGTACCAGCCACATACAGTTAAGGTGGCAGGTTTGAATCCAGCCTGGGCCCGCCAAACAACAATCATGGCTGCAACCAAAAAATAGCCAGGTATTGTGGCAGGTGCCTGTG